GAGCAACTCTAAAGATGAAGTTGCCATGAACTGACATGGGGAAGGCTGCAAGAAAAGCAGGTTTGGGGAGGAAGATCCGGTGTTCAGTGTTAGACATGTTATGTTTGTTAAATCTATCAGATATTCAAGTGGATGTCAGATAGCTGGATATGAGTCTGGAGTTCAGGCTAGGCTAGAGATGTAAATCAGCATATAGATAATATTTGAAGCCACAAAACTGGACAATAATCCCAAGGGAGTATAAATAGAGAAGAAAAGAAGTCTAAAAACTAAGCCCCAGGGCAACATGACATTAAGAGGCTGGGGAAAAGACGAAAAACCAACAAAGGAGACAGAAACAGAATGGTCAATGAGATGGGAAGAAAACCAGAGACCTTGATGAGAGCAGTTTTGGTGGAGTGATAGAAGAAAAAGCCTGAAAGCGGTGAGGGGAAGAATTGGAGATGCAGATTCTTTCAAGGAGACTTCCTATAAAAGAGAAAAAAGAAATAGGATAGTAACTGGAAGAGGAAGAGGGGTCACGAGTAGATTTTTCTTTTTTTAAAAGATGGGAGAAAATAACACCATGTTTGTATGCTAATGGGAGTGATCTAGTAAAGACTGAAAAATTAATGATTTAGAGAGAAAGGGGAGGAATGCTGGAGTGATAGTCTTGAATGAACAAGAAGGTATTGTATCCAGTGCACAAGAGGAAGAGTTGGCTTTATATAGAAGCATCTATGAACTATCTATCGTAACAAGTGGGAAAACAGAGAGTATTGGTTCAACTGCTGTACGTAGATGAGGTAGTGGCGGGGGTCTGTCGAAGTTGTCTTCTGATTGCTTCTATTTTTTAGGGAAATAGGAAGACACATATCAGAAGAGAGTGCAGAGGAGATATTAGGAACTTGAGATGAGAGACGGTGTGAAATGGCTGTCTAGGAGGGTGGGAGAGTGAATTGACTAGGATATGTAATACAAATGGTTACACTAAAGGCCAAAACAGTCAGTACGGCTTTTACTCCAGAGTCTACACTCTTTTTACAACCTCCTTTTCTGAGTTGTTCCCCCCATTAACATAAATTCACTGCCCTCTAAGAGTCCTAATCTTTTGAGTTGCTGCTGTCAATTTGATCCCATATAGACAGTTCTTAAAAGAGCATAATGCTCAAGGCAGACTTTTTTTTTAAATTAGTTAAGCTAAACTGTTGCTTGATCTTAAGTAGACTTCAGGGGATATTTTTGGTTTAATGTTTAAAGATTATCTTAGGGCAATAGTTTCAGGGGTTCATCCAACCTTCATGAGTCTAGGAAGTCTGGAGTCCATGAGAATTTGAAATTCTGTTCTACATTTTCCCCCTTTTGATCAGGATTCTTCTATGGAATATTTGATCAAAATATTCAGTAATGGTAACTGGGCACCATCCAGTTCTTCTGGTCTCATGGTAAAGGAGGCAGTTGTTCATGGAGGCAATTAGCCACAAATTCCAGAGTTTACACTCTTAACCACTGTGTTTCTCCAGTAAGGTTCAGTTGCAATGGTCCAAGAGAAGAGCAGGAAGAGAGTTAATTCAAAGGTAAGGTCTTGCCAAGCAAATGCGACAAAGGGAAAAAGGGAAAGGCCAATCGGGAATAAGAGAAAAATTATGACTGACCATGGAATATAAGCTAGTTAAGAAGGGCGGGCATCACGTGGAAGCGGAAGAGTAAAATTGGTAGGATCAATGGATTGTCGGTCCTAGTAGTGTCAAAGGATCAATGGAGTCAAAATACTCAAGGGGGTGAGCTGGAAAGAAAAGAGGTGGTAGTCAGAGAGTGGGATGCAAGTAACTAATACTATGGAGTGGTTGTACTTATGGGTATGCCCATGGGTTAAGTGGCTAAGGTGGGATGGAGAACAAGATCATTGGAGACTTGTTCAAAGACATGAGCAGCCAGGTTACTGGAAGCACGATCTACATGTTTATTGAAATCACCAAGAATAGGAGAAAAAAATATATATAATATTTGTTTCAATCTCTACAGCATCAGTTCTAGACTTATGAACCTATATAACAGCACTCTTTCTGTCCTTTAGTGAGAGTCAAAGGAGTCTAAGCTTTACAGTTAGATAGACCTCACCTGAATGTGGGTTCATCTACTACTGGTTCTTTAACCTTGTGAAAACTGTTTCATATCTCTGTGCTATATGATAAACATAATACCAATTATTTGATGTAGTTGCTATGATAATTAAATGAGGTAAAGTATGTGAAAACAGCACATTGATTGCCGGAACTCTGGAAATGCTCAATAAATGGTAGCTATTATTGTTATTATGATCAACAGCATTAAATCCTAGTCCCCTCCCAGGCTTTACAGTCTTTTACTCTAACACCTTATAGGAAATGAACTAGAATCTAGAACTGAAAGAAATGACCAGCAAAGGCATTAGGAACCTTCTACAGTAAGACTCCAGTCTATCACTTCAGCCTTAGCCCTACTATTCTTTTATCTGTAAGCAAGCTCTTCTCAAAATGTCTACACCTACTCCTCACTTATTGACCTGGTTAGGTTCCAAAGAGCAGGTCGTTTCCATGCAGAAATCAGCGTTATGCAAAAATGGGGGATTTTTTTCTTCTGTTTTAGATCATCCATTTGTCTGACTTTTTTTATTTAGAAAATATGATCATAGAAATAATAATAGCTAAGATTTATTGATGTGCTTATCACTGTGACGAGTCCAGTTATGGATTATTCCTCTGTGGAGAAGGAGGCTTGGAGGAGACAAAGCTAGATAAAGCCGGGCTGTGTGACTGGAGGGCCCACGGCTTAACCACTTCACCTTCCTCCTGTACTGGGTCAGAGCTTCCCTTATGGAGCTGGCTCCAGGGCTCCACTCACACCCTGTGAGCCCTGCATTCACGATCCTGGAGCCTGCTCTGCCTTCTAGGCCTGGTGAGTCATCAAGGCTCTGGGGTTCCTTCTGGGACGATGGGAGCCTGGCCACACATCTGGCCTCACTGAGGCAGAGGCTTCAGGCCCAGTTTGACTCACTTCTTCCAAACACTCCCTCCGATGCCTCTTTCTTTCCTCCATTTCCACTCCACAACAATTTTGAGCTGCAGGGCCTCAGGCAGCATAGGACCTGGGAACCTAGAACAGGGGTTTCTTGGCTAGGTGCTGCCTCCCGTCTGACTGGAGGCCTTGGCCACGGAGGAGGCTGGCCTTCCAGGGCAGCTGGATGCAGCGCCTGGCAAGAGGGCATGAAGGGTGTGGGGCAACACAGCCCAGCTTCCTGGAGGCCGCCAGGAGACCCTCCTCAAGGGAGGGGACGCTCCACAGCCACTGTCACCATGCCTGCTGCCTTGATGATGTGCAAAATAGTTGGATAGTGGATATTTTACTACTGTCCTCAATGTGAAATGTCGATAAGTGAGGAACAGGTTTATTTGTTTTTCCCTAAACACGTCCTATAAGTCCTGCCTCACTCCTTGTTTATGTTGCTCTCTTTGCTTCACATGACCTCTCTTCTCACATCTACTTGCTAAAATCCTAGCCCATTCTTTCAAGCCATACCACTAAAGCCACCTTCTACTTTGAAATCATTTGATTATTCTTTTTAACCATGTAATATCCTTAAAAAAAACAAACCAAATCTGTTGCTGTCGAGTCAGTTCTGACTCATAGCAACCTTATAAGGCAGAACAGAACTGTTGCACAGGGTTTCCGAGGCGCAGCTGGTGGATTCGAACTGCCAACCTTTTGGTTAGCAGCCTGAGCTCTTAACCATTGCACCACCAGAGCTCCTTAACATCCCTAGTGATATATTAATTCGTCAGTTTGATAATCAGGGTCTTAAAAAGTATATGTATTTTTAAAAGACAGAAATTAACCATTAATACCACAAGCCTTTTAAAAATCTCATTTGCTCTCATTCTAAATGTATGTTTATATCAATACTCAGCACTGCATTGAGTTTTGTTTTCTACATTCTGCCTTCCACAGTCCTCCTTTTTGCTACTCATGTCTGGGAGTTAATTTCCAACTTGAAAACAACACACTCTGCTCAGTGAATTCTAAATTTATCTAAATTAAATATCATCTTGTTACAATTTGTTCAGTGTAAGAAATCCAAGTTGTGAAGGCATTTCTACTAATCCTTCTCTATGCTTAGAATCCTCAGTTTGTCACAATCATCAAATTTGTGTACTGAACAATTCATGTTATCATCGGAAAAAATAAGGCATTTTATTTTCAGCATGATGTTAAAGTATTTACATCTTTGAGTCCACTTCCTTCTAATCCCCTATTCTTCCACACAATAGCCGGTCTGTTTGTCTGTTTTATTTTTAAATGAATAGTGGGAAAGAAGCAGTTACTTAGCTGAAAAAGCTTTTGAACTCCACTGGATCTAGGTTTGAATCTTGGCTTCACCTGGTTTAAATCTAATAAGCTATACAATCTTGATCAAGTTACTTAACTGCTCTGGTCCTCAGTTTGCTGATCTTTAAAAAGAGACTATTACTTAAAAAGGCTATTAAAAAAATAAATGAATGAAAAAAAATAGATACCATCAATAAAGCATGAAGGCTGGATACTAGAATAACATTTAGCTTTTCCCTGTATTATTAACAGAACCTATACACTATCTGTGAAACTATTATCATTGCCTATTTGAAGCCACTAATCTTTTAACTTAGGCCAAGATCTCTAAGAATCAATGCTGACTTTGAAGTTGCCAAGAAACACTGCTTTTCTTAAAGCAAACAATTGTTATTGGTTTTACTGATATTGGCTACAGTACATATTCTAGTCAGATCTTTAACATGAACAATAAATGAGATAATGAATACGCAGAAAGTGTTGTACAAGTGTTGTACATGTCATTATTTTCTGTAAATTATAATTGCATATAACTATGTAATAATTATAAAGCCATAAATAAATAAATAGGACAAATATATTTGGAGGCAAAAAAAAAAAAAGTTTAAAGGAAAGGATGTTTAATGTTCAAAGAAATTGATAAATTATTTCTTTACCTGAATCACTTGCCGCAACAACAATGGTCCCACCAGGAGCAAAAGGATCATTGTGCTTCAATGTTTCTACCTAAATAAATTACACAAAACCATGAGTGAGACAGGCAACCTTTCATAGCTGAAACCTCACTGTCCCACCAAAGAAAACATTCTTTACAAACTCTAAATTAATTAAGGAATACAAGTATTAGGAATACATTTCCCCCTACTGATTTGCACTCTTATTAAATAGGAAACAATACATACTATTTTTTAATCTTCTCTTACTGTGAAATACAACATACATTCAGAAAAGTATATGAAACATATATCTAGTTTAATAAATAATTATCAAGTAAACACCTGTGTAGTCACCTGCCAGGAAGTTGCCAACATCTCAGGAGTTGTCATGTGCCCTTTCCCAGTCATAATCCCAACCCTCTTCTGTAGCGATAACTATTCTCCTGACACTGGCAGCGTTTCTATTCCTTTCTTCCTAATTTTGCTACTTGTATAGATGCATACTATTTTCTTTTAACTTTTTGGAAATAATTTTTGGTTTACAGAAGAAACTGAAAAGATAAAACGAGTTCTCATACCCTTCACCCAGCTTCCTCTAATGTTAATACCTTACACATTATAATGGTACAGCTATCAAAACTAAGGAATTAACACTGGTTTGAAACTACTAACTATAGACTTTATTTGGATTTCCCCAGTTTTTTCCAGAATGTGCTTTTTTTAAATTCCAGGATACCATGTTGCATCTAGGATGCACACTATTCTAACTCGTAAATATTCTAGTACTTAATATCAAATGCTAGATTTCTATTTTTTAATTGTTGTATAAAAAGAATTTTAGCATTCTGCCCCTCAGGGAGGAAAAACACACACAAGATAACTTCCTGTTAAGGAGATTCTGCTGCTTTCAATAATAAGCCAAGTAAATCTGGGATCAAATGGCAAGGGTGAATGGCTATAAGTGCGAGGACATACCAGAAGCTAAAGATTCCGGATACTGAACTACTTCCTACTTTATGCTTTGGCTTTTAATCATAGTAAAACAATTGTATACTTTAAGAAGATATCTGAATTTTCTTTATCTGGCAACAAGCTCTTTTTAATGGCCAGCTGAAAGCCCTGATAGCCTAGGTGAAAGGGGCATGAATAGAGTTTTGGTATACTTATCTTCAACTCTAACTCACGGCTATCAAATGTTATCTGTATTACAGACTCTATTTACAATCATCAAGAAGTTGGATATTACAAATGAATGTCAAAGAACGTTGCCAGAGCTCAATTTATAAATTTCCAAGAAAAACAAATGCATTCAAAAAGAGAAACGTAATGCTAACTGGGAATTATAGTATATTCTCTTTAAAAAACAGGACCCATTAAAACTACTGGCAGAAAGAAGTAATTAATACTAATGTAGTTTTTAGAAATGGAAACAATATTACTTATTTTAACTGATGTCAAAGCTATTATTATAAAACCAAAACACTAAATAATACTTGTTGAATGCACAAATAGAATTAAAGAAACAAATTAAGCTGGTCTGTGTTCCCTAGCACACTATTGAAAATGCAGGTGTGAGAGGCAGTCGGTCACATGATAACTCTGTCACTATTGTGTTACTGTTTCTTCTCTTGACTTTGAGGGAAGGAAAAACTAATGGGCCTGGTTTTCAACAATAGCTTGTAGATTTGGTTTGCCATCACAGAGAGAAAGAGAAAATGCGTGCCTACATGCGTGCCAGGTTTAGTTTCTATTCCTTTATATACTGTACGACCACCAGCAAGGGGAACAGGATGGAATGTGTAGCCCACGAAGAACCAAGTGGCCACAGAACTCTCTTTATGTTATATTCAGTTTGATAATGAGGCAATTTTAGCCCACAAAAGTAACTGTCATATCTAAAATTCTGGTGGTGTGACTTTACAAAATTAAAATTGCAAGATCTTCCTATAAATCGCCTAATTTGTCACTGAAATTCTCTCTTGTCTACAATAGCCATCTATTCCCCTCTTTGACAGTATGACTTAGGATCCATACAGTGCTACCACACACTAGTTAGGACAGCAGAACATGGAATGCTGTTTTTAGTAAATTGTGTCCCTCTGAGAACAGAGACAAGCCCTGAGGGAATAGAAAAGACTTTTAGGGAGAGCTTCATATCTGGAGGCAGAATAAGAGGCATGTATGAAAAAATAAAAGCAAGATACACTACAAACAACAGTGGTTTTGTGGTTAGAATTTGGTTTAAATCTGTAGACTGTAGCGGTTAAGACCTTATATTCTGGTCAGATAGATCAGAGTCTGAATTCAGTTCTACCGCTTACTAACTTACTATCACTTAATCTCTACCTTCAGTTTCTTTACCTTGAAAATGGGGATAGTAACATATGTCTCACAGAATTACTGTGAGGATTAAATGAGCTAATGCATGAAAAGAGCTTAGCACCATGCCTGGCACATAGAAGGGACTAGATAAAGTGAAACTATTACTATATTGCCAGTTTGGCTTTTTGTTTTGTTTTGAATGGACAAATGAAGAACTGTCAAAAAAAAAAAAAAAAGCCAATATTGCTTCCCAAAACTGGAGAGAAAAGAGAAAAATTAAAGTAGGACAACTAGTAGAAAAATCTCACCAGCAGAGAGGAATAGGAGGAACATGTTTTCTTTTAAATTAGGAGAGCTGCTTTGGCTTTCTTGATCTTTAAATGACAGGAGTGGAGAATGAGAGGCCAGAATCAAGGGATGGGAGGGGAATAATTCAGGTTGCAGCCAATTTTGGAAGAATTTGGCAAACGGGTCCATACTGCAAACTAAGTGTTGTAGGAAAACAGAGTGTCCAGTAGCCTACGGAAACCACAAATATTCAGTTACAGAGATATTTGCCCAGTTTCACATCAATGGAAAATACCAGTTGTTGGCCAAATTGCTCTTTACTGAATACAGTAAGGAAGCCAATTCAAGAACACCAAAATCTGTTATCTTTAAAAGAACCAATTACTCTTTTAAGGAAATATTCTTAATTTAAGAGTATTAAAAGATAACAATTTTTTTTGCTTCAAATGTCTGTCACACAACTTTCCCTTTCTGGGTCCAGTTTACTTATAGATGTGAAATATGCTGCATTTAAAAATGAGCCTCTAAAAAAAGAAAACCCCAAAATCCTTCCAAAACCATTCACAATTATTGAAGTTGGGTGACAGAGATGGATACATGGAAGTTAATGAAAACATTTCAATATAATACTCTATTTTTAAATATCTATAATTAAAGATTTTTTTAAAAGCCTCCAGATGACAAAGCATTTAGCTGTGTGACCTTGGGCATGTTATATTAAATTTTCTGAGTCCCGTGTCATCAATTCTAAAATAGGTTTACCAACACTTACTTTGCAGGGTTGATGTGAAGATTAGAAACAATGCATGTGAAGCACACAGAAGTACCTGGATCACAGTACGTGGTTATTAAATAGTGACAGTTGCAGTGATGTATGTTCTCAAGATAGCCTGACATTTAGTGGGAATCTGTACTTTTTTATAAGATTAACAATCCAGATGTGACAATGAAAAACATGAATGATTTTGTTTTTCAAATATATCACTGTTGTTCCTTTTAAAGTAATTTTCATTAGTTCAATAATGGACCTAACATTTTTGAAAAGCTTAAGATTGGTTTATGGATTTATGATCATTTATTTTTAATATTTCCAGTGGGATAAAATTTGGTCCCGGAAAAGCTGGACTCGACTTTTTTATGCCATAAGTTTTTCTAGTCAATTCCACTGTGTGATCAAGCTGTGACATGCCAGTTTGTACCAAAAACTAGACAGGTTGGGATGAGACCGAAATTCTTGTATGGTCCTCCAGAAGTAATCTAAAAGAGGGTTCTTTAATCATTGTATATTTCAGGAAGCTCACTTAGGACACTTGCTACCCATTTAATGTGACAGTTTTAACTTTCCCACTTACCGATGTATTACTGTTACTGCTGGCTGCACTGAAAGGGTCAGTACTCGAAGTGGCAAAAGGATCAGCAGAAGATTGCTTGAAGAAACAGTCAGATGCAAATGGATCTGAACCTTTGAAAGGATCACCTCCAAATGGATCTAAGGAAATACAGCACAAATGTAAGAAACCAAAAAATCATTACCCTAAATGTCCTGTTGCTTGATGGCATGCTAAGGGCTTTAATTGAAAAAAATTTCGAACTCCTGTAGAAATGCAGAAATCTAAGTTAGGTACTTTGTAGTGTGAATATTGATCATAAAAAAGTACTGACAGTGTACCTAGTTAAATAGTCTTAATTAACATTCTTTCCTATTTGTCATCATTCATCCAAAGCAAATCAATATTCCAACATTTGCTTATGCAAACATTTCCCGTATGCTAGGTTTAAATAATTCATTCCTCTAAGATGGTAATTCCTATTCTTTTGGGGACTACAGATTCCTTTCAGGTTTTGATAAAAGATATAGACTATTTTACCTAATAAACTTACTTTTAAAAATTAGCATATAATTTCAAGTGATCCCATTTTAAGACACCTTATTTTTTTTTCTTTGTTTTATTGTGTTTTTGGTGAAACTTTATATAGCAAATTAGGTTCCTATTTAACAATGTCTATACATATTGTTCAGTGACACTGGTTACGTTTTGCACATTCTGTCAACATTCTCATTATTTCCATTCTGGTTTCCATTTCCATTAATCTAGCTTCCCTGCCACCTCTACCCCAACCTTCTCATCTTTGATTTAGGGTCTCACAAAGATGATTTTTTTTTTTTAAATGAGCACAGTACTCACAGGTGACATTTTATGAACCAATCTGTTATTTAGCTGAAAGGTGACCTCTGTGAGCGGTTTCAGATCAAAGTTTAAAGGGTATCTCAGGGCAATACTCTCAGGGGTTCCTCTAGTCTCTATTGGCCCAGAAAGTCTGGCCATTTTTTTTTTTTTTTTAAGAATTTGAGTTTTGTTAAAATCCCTTATTTTATGCTATTCTAACTAAAGAAAACAACAAGGATAAAAACTTCTAAGAGTATTTCTCTCTTAGAGCTCAAGGCTAACAGTCAATAATTTGAAACAGGTTTGGGAAGCAAAACTAAATGGTAAACCAGGTATGCTTTATTCTAATGCAAAAATCTTGTAGAAAGAATATCTTTAAAATTTCCCTAATGATAGTTTAAATTTTTCTTGCAATAAAGTCTGTTTAGCTTGATCTGTTTTTGATATTTATAAATAATGTCCTTATGATTTTATCCAACATTGTTTGCTAACATTAGTGAGTTACTTAGGACAAAGCATAATTCAGGAGGAAAAATCAGGCACTGAATGAATGATTGATCTGTGATATTAAAAGCTGAGGCCCCTAGCAGCCATCTAAGATGCATCAATTGGTCCCAATCCCCCTGGAGCAAAGGAGAATGAAGAACATCAAAGACACAACGAAAATATTAGCCCAAGAGACAAAAGGGCCACATAAACCAGAGACTCCACCAGCCTGAGACCAGAACTCGATGGTGCCCGGCTACCACCAATGACCCCCGCTACAGGGAACACAACAGAGTCCCTGACAAAGCAGGAGAAAAGTGGAGTGTAGAACTCAAATTCTAGTAAAACGACCAGACTTAATGGTCTGAAACTGGAGGAACCCCAGAAGACATGGCCCCTCGACTCTGTTAACCCAGAACTAAAACCATTCCCGAAGCCAACTCTCCAGACAAAGATTAGACTGGACTACAAGACATAAAATGATACTCATGAAGAGTGTGCTTCTTAGTCCAAGTAGATACACAAGACTAAATGGGCAGCTCCTGTCTGGAGGTGAGATGAGAAGGCAGAAAGGGACAGGAGCTGGTTGAATGGACATGGGAAACCCTGGGTGGAAAGGGGGAGCATGCTGTCACATTACAGGGAAAGCAACAGGGTCACATAACAATGTGTGTATAAATTTTTGTATGAGAAACTAACTTGAGCTGTAAACTTTCACTTAAAGCACAATTAAAAAAAAAAAAAAGTTGCGGCTCCTAGATAAGACTAATTAGAGCCTGACATTTAGCAGTTCTACAGGATGTTTCCTTTTCCCCCATTCATGCAAACGGGCTATAAACTTAGGAAAACAAAATTTAAGTTCTAAACCCTGTAGTAGTACAGATCATTATGCTCATGTAATCAGGAGAAATCAGTGTAAAGATTATTTAAAGTACCAAAGTAGAAGTACTAATGTTATATTTTTTTAAAGTAAAGCTAACAGTTTATTAAGCAAATTCACAAGAGTACACCACTCCCCTTTTGAAAATGCCAGGCACATACAACTTCTCACTAGTGCCTTAGATCAGTTTCAAAACTGAATAAAAAGGAAGTCCATTCCCTATAACTACTCAATATGTGACCCCCCCCCCCACCATTCCTACCTAAATCACAAGCATAACCAAGTTAAACCTAAGATGGACCTCAGTAATATACTAACCAATTTTCCCAAAAGGATCATCCTTGAAAGGATCACCTGTAATAAAATAAATAAGCAGAAATCAAAACAACAACATTTACTGTTGTAGAACCATTACTTATTTTGGAAATAAAATAAAACGCAAAAGAGCTTTGACACAAGTGGTATTTAACATAGTTTACAATGACAGCAGATATTTTATCAGACATGCTTCTTCAATAAGACAGTAGGCACCTTAAGGATGGGGATCAGGCTCCTGATCCGCCTACAGCTTTCACTCTTTTAAAAGAATGGCACTGGCACTTTTAATAAACAATTGTTGGTTTCGCTGGAGATTGCCCAATCTCCTCTGCTGCTCTATAACATCTCTATCCTTCAGACCCTATCTTGAAGAAGAAAACATACTCTTAATCAAAAGTTCCTAAAACATCATCAAAAGCTTAATTTCAGGTTTAGTTGCCCGAGGAGGACAAATACTAGCAAATATGGGCATATAAACTCTCACTCTTTCCTCTACTATCATTATAACAAGCAGGCTTTCAAAACTATAAGCCCTATTCTTATATAGTGTGATGGACTGAATTGTGTCCCCCCAAAAATGTGTGTATCAATTTGGCTAGGCCATGATTTCCAGTGTTGTGTGGTTGTCCTCCATTTTGTGATTGTAATTTTACATTAAGGAGGATTAGGGTGCGATTGTAACACCACCCTAACCCAGGTCACATCCCTGATCTAATGTAAAGGGAATTTCCCTGTGGTGTGGCCTGTACCACCTTTTATCTCTTGTAAGAGATAAAGGGACGCAAGTAGAGAATTGGGGAACCTCAAACCACCAAGAAAGCAGTGCCGGGAACAGAGCACATCCTTCGGACCTGAGGTTCCTGCACTGAGATGCTCCCAGACCAAGGAAAGACTGATGCATCCCAAGGACCTTCCTCCAGAGCCAACACAGAGAGAGCCTTCTGGAGCTGATGCCCTGAATTTAGACTTAGAGCCTACTGGACTGTGAGGGAATAAACTTCTCTTTGTTAAAGCCATCCACTTGTGGTATTCCTGTTAGAGCAGCACTAGATGACTAAGACATATGGTTTATATATTTTAAAAAACTTTTTTTTTTTTTTGTAAATCAATGATATAAAAATAAGAGTACTTACTGCCAACAAAAGGATCAGACTGGAAGAAATCCAAGTTTGTATCTGCCACTGGATCTGTCAGTGAGCTTGATTCTACATTAAATGGATCTTCCTAAAAAATAACGTTAAAAAAATTTTTTTAGGAACCGAAGAAGTTTTAAAGGGTAACATCTTAAAATAAAATAAACATCAGATCATATGTATGTTTTGAAAAATCAACTGAATGTAGTTTAACAAATATTTCCATTGTCAAAAAGTATACTTGACACATTTTTCTCTTTTTTAAGCCTAAAACAGTGTGCAACTCAGCTTTTCTTAGCATAAAACCAGTGATAAGAACATTTAAATATAAAATAGTTTTTACCTCTTTTGAGTGTTTGTCACTGTTAAATTCAGGACAAGCTTTTCCATTAACAGCTGCAGTCACCACTTCCTTTTCATAAGTCATACCAGTAGGTGGTATTTCAGGGCTACTTCTTGCCTACAAAATATTGATGCTATATGAATTAACAATTATACCTTTCTGCTCGACAGAGGAAACTGACGAAGGACAATCAAAAATTATAAAAACAACAACCACACATACACAAAAAAGACAAGTAGAATATAAGCCTTGAATGACTCCTTCTCCTATAATCTTTCTTAAGAAAATGGTTTCACCAACCACTGAAGTCACCAGAAACCTTCAGGTCATTCTTAACCACTTCCCTTTCAGTCATCCCCAAAGTCGTGGAATCAGACACCAAGTCCTATCAAGTCTATATCATATTTCTTTCTCAAGTCTTTCACCTCCTCTCTATCCTCAATGTCACTATCACTTACTTACAGGATCAACATTCCTGATCCAGATTACTGTAGTAGTCTTCCAACTGCCTTCCTGCTTCCAACATCGGCCCTTCCAGTCTATCCTCCTTACAGCAGTCAAAGTAAAAGATCTAAAATGTGAATCTGATCATGACCTTCTGGTTAAAAGTCCTTCAATGGCTCCTCTTTGCCTTCTAGGTTTAAATTAGTAGGTAATAAGCTTAAGAAGTAGCAGGGGCAATCTCCATCTCACATCACCCTTAAGTCTTTGAAAGATAGCTGAGTAATCTGTCTTTTGTGCTTAAAAGAATATTGTACAGTAATATATCCAAGATGGCACTACCTAAATAAATTCAAGTCTATTAATTTTACATTCTTAATATCTCATATTTGTATTCTTCTCATTATCCCTCCCGTTACTGCTTAAGTTCAGGCTAAAACAACTCTCACATGAACTATTCCAATAGTCTCTTAGCATATCTCTTTGCAACCATTTTCACTCTCCAATCTAATTTCTCATATTTTCAAAAGGGTAAACTTAATCATGTCACTTTTTGCTTAAAATTCTTTAATGGCTACTCACTGCAGGAAGATAAATCCCCAATGCTTCAAGATGAATCCAATTTTCTTACCCCTTCTGACCTAAAAGTGGTCGTCTTTAACCAGGTACACATCACAATCACCACGGAATTTGTTTTTAAAATATATGTACCCAGCTCCATTCCAGAAACTCTAGTTCAGCAAGTTTGAGGTGGGGCACAGACATCTTAATTTTGATAAACTATCATATCAGAGGTGATAAGATAGCCCCTACAGTAAATCTGCACATAGCTGGTGCTCTCTAAAAAATTGTTAAATGAACGTCCTCAACATTATATAATAAAGAGTTACTTCGGGCCTTACGTGAAGATACTTAAAAAACTTGAGAAAAAAATTACTAACTACATAACTACTGTCTTAAAAACATGTTCTATAGTAAATAAATTAGTTAAAATGACATTTTTACACTAATTAAAACTAGCACTACTGGATCAGTACTCATTCTCTGCTTCTAAAAACAAAGTCTCAATCATCCTCAGATGAGGCAAGACCACGTTTTTATTAGGTATGATGCCTACAAAATTTTGAGCTGAATCATTTTTTTTTTTTTTTCTCTGAAGTTATCAATAAAGGCTACAAAACTATTAGACTCACTGGAGATTCCTGGTGTATGGGCTCAGCCTCTAGGTTGCTCTGGCCTTCAGCTTGCTCATTAAGGTTGGCTGTTTCACTGCTGCTGGTGCTGAGGCTGCAGTAATCTACAGCACCATTTACAAGAATGCTGTGCGGACTACTGCACCAATTTAACTGATGGTTATGGTTTTCTAGTTCTTTCATTTCCATTAGTTTCATTTGCATCTGTCAACACAAAACAGAAATACAAAACAGAATTTATTACTAGAAAGACATGCAATGTAAAAATGGCTATACCCTTAGACTTGGTCTAAAATAAATTTGCTTTCTTTAAGGAGAACTTCCTTGGAATGTAGCGTAACTTAGAGGAAAGATTTCAGTAATCCCTCCCAGTAAGTTCCTCTCTTCAAATTCCAGTTACACATGGATTTAGTTTTGTACATTTTTTCAAAACTCCAAGAATTGTGATTCAAATGTCTGCAAATTGGCAGTCCTTTAGATAAAGAAGGGCCAGGGTATTGGGAGAAAGATAGCAAAGTGGCAGGGCGAGAGGAAAAATTTTTGTGATGAAGCTTTAGAAGAGATAAAACAAATTGAGAGACAGTACACACAGGGCCTTGGAACCTTCCCATAAGCAGTCATATTGGGAAAGAGGAAACGAAGACAAAGGTAAAATGAGCTAACTTCCTATGCTTTGGCATTATTCATTAGTGCTCTAGGGCCCTACGAAGTATTCTCTAAATCTAAGCTATACCAAGCAGGTTAAATAAATGACATTCAAGTTTTTCTGACCTCAAACATCCAAGTGACTTTATATTCCAGGGAAAATACTGGGAAAGAGAAGGTAGAATTCAATAAATTCTAAGGTGTACAAAAAGAAAAATACTGGCAACCAGAGGCAAGAAAAACCTATGCTTGTTTATACCAAGATCTATAATAAAAACAGATTTACAAATATCTAAAAGAAATTGAGAAGGCAAATCAAAAAAAATTGTTTTTTTCTAGTGAAAAAGGGATAATAAATGGAATCTTACTGAGTAGTACTCATCTTTCATAAAATATTTAAAAATGACATTGGAACTCCCTTTATTTAGCATGCTTGTGGTTTTTTTGTTTTTAGCAAATATAAAAATTACCTATTGACCTTTCATAAGCTTACTCAAGGCTCTAGTCTCACAGTCTTATTTTCCCCTTATGGTTTTAAGTTGCTCAAGTTGGAATCTATAATTAACCACAAGTCTTTCCAGGGCTATAACCTGGGAAAAAAACATGATACTAGATTAGGAGACAGGTTTAAATCTAGTTCTGTCATCTTCTAGCTAGGTGATCTTAGCCAAAGTAACCTCTCCAAGCCTCTATTTCTTAATCTATAAAGGGAGTACCTCCACAGAGGATTGTTAGGTAAATCAAAAGAGACAATATCTTTGAAAGAACTCTGTAAAATGCAAAGGTCTACGTAAATGATGGACAATGTGGGTAAAAGTGCTTAGCACACTGCAATTCCCACTCTTACATCAGTTTTTTCCAGCACCTTGTTTTCCCCCTGCCTTTTCCACTAATTCACCCTATTTTTAAAAAGTTAAAGATCTTAAATCTTCATGGCAGAGGCCACACCTTTTGGTATCAATTTTTATCTCCAATGCCTAAAACAATGATGCATACTGTAAGTGCTCAATATATGTTCGCTGGATGAACACCGTAGTGTATTTATAAATTAAACAGTGGGCATCAATAAGCATATACAGGTAGTCCCTGTGTTACGAAAGTGATCCGTTCCTAACTATGTCTTTAAGTCATTAAGCCAAACTTGTGGGTGAGCTGGAACAGGTGCATTTCTCATTTAGCCTTACTTCAGTGCAACAAAAGGCTTGAAGCCTTTTCAATGATTTAAAAGCTGCCCATGCAGCAAGTTAAGGTGATTTGTGATGAAGAATTTGTTGCAAGTAGGGGTTGGTTTGATCGTTTCAAAGTGAGGGTAAATTTACATAACGTTAAAGACCAAGTACAAGCTGTCCATAATTTGGACGTTTGTAACCCAGGGAATGCCTGTGTATGTACCAAATTGTATTGTATTTAGAATTTAAATATACTCTGTATATTTGTAGTTTTATAGAGCAGTGGCCTGTCAACTTTTTTTACTTTCACCCATGGATATATATTTTACATCCTAAGCCAGTACATGTTTATGTATATATTTGGATGTGTCTATGTGTATATGTATATATAAACACATACATGTACATATACAATGTAGACACATACATAAAATGTGTCTGTATATAAGCACATAATATGCATATTATACATACATATACACACACAGTGATGAAACAAGTTTTATGAAATGATACCATTACTGTATATAATGGACTCTGATGTTTCCTATTCTCTGCTATTTCAATCTTTAAAACATTTTTATTATGACCATTACACCAATTTCATGATCCACTGCAACCTTACAGTTTAAAATTAAAAACCTTAAACATTAAAATAACATCACACAGAAGAAGGAGTAAGTGGAAACACCTGCCTAGCAAACAACTAACTATGACAGTTCGCTCCTTAAAGTTATTTCTGAGACATCCATTAAAATCTTGAACAAAACTAGGCTTTCCTATGTCTGGCTCTCCCACACATCTGTCTCTAAGCCTGTGTTCTTCCTACGGTGGAATCTTACTAGTTTCTGTGTAAATTCAAAGGACATTAAAAAAAAAAAAAAATCAAGCAATTAACACAAGTTCGTTGCAAACTGTGCAAGAGAAATGCAATAAACTATTAGAATGCTAGAGATACTTAGATAAAAATAGCACATATTATATAAGTAACGTGTAGATTTAAGATTAGAGTTTCTTTGCTTCATTCTTGTGGCAAAAACTAGGTAAGAAGAGGAAAGAGGAAGATTTGATGAGTCAGAAAGATCATCAGCTACCCTTTTCAGAAACCTTTAGTTTAACTTTAGAGAGCCATGAAAGGCTCAGGCAAACTTACAGCCAGTCTTTCATTTTTATAGATCCATGAGCACATACTGCTCTCTGCCGAAAGGACACATAACAGCCACTAAGTCAAACACTGTAAGAAATTGGTGTATTTATTCTTAAAGTTTGGAGATCAGATACGAGGATATAATTTCTTCCACAGATCCCAAATATATTCTGGTACTCTAGGTAGTACAATTTTCTGAGGCTCTTTTCCTTAGTCACATTTTTTTTTCCCTCAGTGATGACTTAGAATACTCAGAGCTCTTTCTACTTTAAGAATTTATACTCCCTCTTTTGAAAGAAGCTCTCTTTCAAAAAACTCAAAGACAAGAAAATGAAAAGATAAGCCAGAGGTTTGGAGAAAAAATTTACAAAGCTTTTATCTGATAAAGGACTTGTATCTAGAATATATAAATAACTCTTATAATTAAATAAGAAACAATAAACAACCCAATTGAAAAATGGGCAAAAGATTTAAATAGACGTTTCACCTAAGAAGATACGTGAAGAGCTAAACAGCATGTGAAAAGATACTCAACATCATTAGTCATTAGGGAAATGCAAATTAAAGCCACAATGAGATACCTATTGCTTTACATCTACTAGAATGAACATAGTTAAGAAGACAGACAATAAAAGTGTTGGTGAAGCTGTGGAAAAACTCATACTATTCATGGGAATGTAAAATGGTGTAGCCACTTTGAAAAAATAGTTTGGCAGTTTCTTAAAAAGTTAAACATAACTTTACCACGTGACCAACTATTCCAAACCTGAGAGAAATGAAAACGTATGTTCACACACAGATTTGTATGCAAATTTTTGTAACAGTGTTATTCATTTCATAATAGCCAAAAAGTAGAAAGAATCCAAATGTCTGTTAACTGGTGAATAGATAAACAAATGAATTCCATACAATGGAATATTACTGAGTAATAAAATGAAACATAATATCAATACATTCTACAACATGGATGAACCTCAAAAACATCATGCTAAGTGAAAGAAGCCACATGTAAAAGACTACATATTGTATAATTACATTTAAATGAAACATCCAGAAAAGGCAACTTTATACAGACAGAAAGCAGATTAGTGGTAACTGGGAGTAGGAGTAGTCAGGAGACTGACTACAAATAGGGACAAAGGATCCTTTGGGAGTGATAATAAAAATATTCTATAACAATTTCACGTGTGATGTTTGCACAACTCTAAATTTACTTTTAAAAAAATCACTGAACCGTGTCCTTAAAATTGGTAAGTTTTATGCTATGTAAATTATGCCTCAAAAAAGCTGCTTTAAAAAAAAGTAAAAGAAGAAAGCTATTTTAAAGAATACCCATTCAGAGGGGAGAGGTGGGGATGGAAAAACACTAAATAGACAATAAATAAGTAGTAACTTTGGTGAAGGGTAAGACAATACACAATACTGGGGAAGCCAGCACAACTTGTACGAGGCAAGGTCATGGAAGCTCCATAGACACATCCAAACTCTCTGAGGGACCGAATTACTGGGCTGAGGGCTGTGGGGACCATGGTCTTGGGAAACATCGAGTTCAACTGGCATAACATAGTTTATAAACAAAATGTTCTACATTCTACTTTGATGAGTAGCGTCTGGGGTTTTTAAAAGCTTGTGGGCGGCTATCTAAGATACTCCACTGGTCTCACCCCTTCAGGAGCAAGGGAGAATGAAGAAAACTAAAGATACAAGGGAAAGATTAGTCCAAAGGACTAAGGGACCATAACTACCTCAGCCTCCACCAGACTGAGTCCAGTCCAACTAGATGGTGCCTGACTACCACCATTGACTGTGCATAATAGAAGGTCCTGGACAGAGCTGGAGAAAAATGTAGAACAAAATTCTAACTCACAAAAAAAGACCAGACTTACTGGCCTGACAGAGAATGGAGAAACCCCAAGAGTATGGCCCTCGGATACTCTTTTAGCTCAGTAATGAAGTCACTCCTGAGGTTCACCCTTCAACCAAAAACTGCACAGGCCCAAAAAACAAAACGAGACTAAAGGGGCACACCAGCCCACGGGCAAGGACTAGAGGGCAAAAGGGGACAGGAAAGCTGGTGATGGGGAACCCAAGGTTGAGAAGGGAGAGTGTTGACATGTCGTGGGGTTGGTAACCGATGTCACAAAACATGTGTGCTGTTTAACGAGAAGCTGGTTTGTTCTATAAACCTTCATCTTAAGTACAATAAAAAAAACAAAAAAGAATACCCATTCATTCTGATAGCATTCTCACTAGGATAATTCTTTCTTTTGGGTTACCTGTTTATTCAGTACCTATACTGTATTAACTATAGGGTCACTATGAGTTGGAACTGACTTGACAGCAACAGGTTTGGTTTGGTTTTTTATGCTGCAACAAGATCTGTGCTAAATGACAGAAAAAAAAAAAAATGTGTAAGTTCCTAGATCAAAGAGCTCAGTCTGCTGGAGAGACAGATATATAAACAAATACATAGGAGAAAATGTGACTATTGCAGTAACAGAAGTGTAGAGTACTACATGTGCCCAACAAAGGCAGAGCTCAGAAAATGCCATAAAGAAATAACAGCTTAAACTATGTCCTCCTACAAGATGAGTCAGTAGATATCATCTACCAGACAAGTGGGAGAACGAAGCGTATAAGAGGAAGGACTTAATTATATATAATACTTAACCAAGAAAACTGGACAGGGCTTGGAAGACCTGGATTCTAGACTATGGCTCTTCTAATGGCTATGTAACCATGGGCAAGTTACTTAAACTTCTTTGACTTCAGTTTGTTCAAAATGACAGGAATGGGCAACATGATCTCTATGATCCTATCTAACCACCTCACCTATCATTCTATAAGATACTATTCTCCATTTAAGGAAGCCTAGAAATAAAAAGGCAAATGATCTATATACAGGACCCATGGCAACATTACTACACATTTATCTCTCTCTATAAGGAACAATTTCCCAATTAAAAAAGTAAATGTGTCCAAATGAGCAAAATGGATTTCAAAATTAGAATCACAAAAGGGAGAATAGTGGGTTACCGTTTACAAAAATAAGCAACATTTATTGAGCATTTACGTACCAAACAATATGCTAAAAATGCCTCAGAGGTTTTGCTTCATTTAATCTTTACAGCGGCTGCAACAGGTAGGAGTATTATTAATTCTCTGATTTTAAAGATGAGGAATCTGACACTAAAGTGATTCAACAAGTAAGTGGCAGAGCCAGCACTTCAACCTAGACTATCTAACTACAAAGTTTTAACTACTACTCTGAAGATAATCATCAGATGTACAAGATGTATGATAATTTTAACTTATGACAGGTGACAAGAAACCTATCTGGGTAAAACCATTGAAAAATGAATAATAAACTAAGCAGCGTGAGAAGGAGCAAAAGTTGAGAAAGAATCAAAAGGATATATACATGAGGGCCCATCTGATCTTACTTCTCACTTCCACAGTGACTTACTGAACTGATTTCCTGTTGTGAATCTTGTAGATGCTGTTGAAGAGGTCCCAAATGAGCCTTCCCTGACTCCACACTCTCCTCTAATTCTGCTGTCTCTTGCTGTAGGCGGCTCAGCTCTTCTCTGGCTTTAGCCAGTTCTTCTTCATAAGTGGAGATCTGTGATTCTTGACTAGTTAATTCAGCTTTCAGAGAAGAGATCTATAATATAGAGGTGAATGGGGAAAAAAAGGAATTAAAAGAAGAGATGTCATTAAAACATTCCATTATGTAACACTTTTACTGTTTAGCTTATTATTTTGGAGTTTTTTTTTTTTTTTGGTGTTTATTTTTGATGTTTCACAAAGGCGACTGGGGGAGGGATAGAGGAAATTTCAGGCATAGTTATCATTGTTGCTGTTAGGTGCCATCAAGTTGGTTCTGACTCAGTGACCCTACGTACAACAGAACAAAACACTGCCCAGTCCTGTGCCATCCTCACAATCATTGTTATGTTTGAGCCCACTGCTGCACCCACTGTGTGTCAATCCATCTTGTTGAGGGTCTTCCTCTTTTTCACTAATCCTCTACTTTACCAAGCACGATGATTTTCTCCAGGGACTGGTCCCTCCTGATAACATATCCAAGGTACGTGAGATGAAGTCTCGCCATCCTCGCTTCTAAGGACTATTCTGGCTGTACTTATTCCGAGATAGATTTTTTCGTTCCTCTGGCAGTCCATGATGTATTCAACATTCTTTGCTAACACCATAATTTCAAAGGCATCAATTCTTCTTCAGTCTTCCTTATTCACTGTCCGGCTTTCACATGTATATGAGACGATACTGTGGCTTAGGGTCAGGCACACCTTAGTCCTCAAAGTGACATCTTTGCTTTTTAACACTTTAAAGAGATCTTTTGTTTTGCAGCAGATATGCCCAATGCAATACATCCTTTGATTTCTTGACTGCTGCTTTCACGGGCATTGATTGTGGATCCAAATATAATGAAATCCTGGACAACTTCAATATTTTCTCCATTTATCATGATATTGCTTAGTGGTTCAGTTGTGAGGATTTTTGTTTTCTTTATGTTAAGGTGTAATCCATTCTGAAGGCTTTGATCTTCATCATTAAGTGTTTCAAGTCCTCTTCACTTTCAGCAAACAAGGTCGTGTTATCTACATATCGTAGGTTGTTAATGAGTCTTCCTCCAATTCTGACGCTGTATTCTTCTTCATATTGTCCAGGTTCTTTTTTTTTTTTTTTTTGGTTCAGCATACAGATTGAATAAGTATAGTGAAAGGATACAACCCCACCTTTCCTGATTTTAAACCACGCAGTATTCCCTTGTTCTGTTTGAATGACCGTCTCTTGGTCTACATGGACAGGTTCCACATGAGCACAATTAAGTGTTCTGGAATTCCCATTCTTTGCAATGTTATTCACAATTTGTTATGACCCACAGAATCAAATTCCTATGCACAGTCAATAAAACAGAAGTAAACATCTTTCTGGTATTCTCTGCTTTCAGTGAAGATTCATCTGACATCAGTAATGATATTCCTGGTTCCACATTCTCTTCTGAATCCGGCTTGAATTTCTGGCAGTTCCCTATCAATGTACTTCTGCAACCATTTTTTGAATGATCTTCAGCAAAATTTTACTTGTGTGTGATATTAATGATATTGTTCAATAATTTGCACATTATGTTGGATCATCTTTCTTTGGAATGGGCACATATATGGATCTCTTCCAGTTGGTTAGCCAGGTAGCTATCTTCCAAATTTCTTCACATAGATGAGTGAGCGTGTCCAGCACTGCATTCATTTGTTGAAACATCTCAGTTGGTATTCCATGAATTCCTGGAGTCTTGTTTTTTGTTTTTCGCTAATGCCTTCAGTGCAGCTTGGACTACTTCCATCAATACCATTGGTTCTTGTTCATATGCTATGCCCTGAAATGGCTGAATGTTGACCAGTTCTTTTGGGTACAGTAACTATATTCCTTCCATCTTCTTTTGATGTTTTCCACATCATTTAATATTTTCCCTGTACAATCCTTCAATATTGAAACTTGAGGCTGGAATCTTTTCCTCAGCTCTTTTAGCTTGAGAAATGCCGAGCGTGTTCTTCCCTTTTGGTTTTCTAACTCCAGGTCTTTGAACATTTCATTATAATACTTTACTTTGTTTTCTCGAGCTGCCCTTTGAAATCTTCTGTTCAGCTCTCTTACTTCATCATTTCTTGCATTTGTTTTAGCTGCTCTACATTCAAGAGCAATTTTCAGAGTCTCTTCTGACATCCATTTTAGTCTTTTCTTTCTGTCTGTCTTTTTAATGACCACTTGTTTTCTTCATCTATGATGGCCTTGATGTTATTCCACAACTCATCTGGTCTTCAGTAATTAGTGTTCAACGCATCAAATCTATTCTTTTTTTTTTTTTTCTATTTTATTGTACTTCATGTGAAGGCTTATAGAACAAATGGCTTCTCAGGAAACAGTAATACACATGTTGTTTTATGACATTGGTTAACAGACCCACAACATATTAACCCTCTAAATTCTCGACCTTTTTTATTTTTTTTTTGGTGAAAATACGCATAGCCAAAGATACACCATTTCAAAAATATCTACATACACAGTTCAGTGACATTGACTACGCTCTTCCAATTGTGCTGTTATTCTCACTTAAGATGAAGGCTTACAGAACAAAATAGTTTC